GCCAGACTTTATTGCATCACATTAATATGCATGTGTAGATGTGCCCTGTCTTACACAAATCTCATTTAATCTGAGACTGTACTCTGCTTTGTGTGTGTGTGGGTGGCTGTGTGTCCGTGTGCATTTGTACACGTGGGGGAAGCTGAAAGCATAGCAAAATTAATAGCCTAATATAATTATCTAACATAGTATCTCTTTTCAAACAGATACAGTATAGCCATTTGCTCACCATCAGTTTTCTCACCTGTCATTGCTTATTAAACTAAGAGGAAAGGAACTGAAAATATCTTCTGGAGAACACACAAACAAGAAATATCTCAATCAAAAAGGAGACACTTGAAGTTAGGATCTGTCACTCGCCTCCCACAATGCAAGACCATTTGTAATTTACTTCACAAATTGGCAATCTGAGGCCGTGAACAAGTGTCACCATTTGGACTGGGAGAAAAGCCAAGGAAGAGGGAAGGAGAGCACTAGTTTCCTGTCAGCCCACCCAGGGGTCAGTTGTCAGGGAGACCTATGGGGACTTTGCATGGGAAAATTCTCCTGCTCACCACACCAATCAGCTGATTAGTGTGCATGTGCATGTTATCTAACCTTGCTATTAGACTTTAGGTAGTGGCACTGAAGTCATTAAAATTGCATGAAAATGCTCTGAAGAAAGCATTTATTGAGTACAGCAATTTCCCATTTTAAGTATAAGGCAAGCAGAAAACTTGGTCTAAACTAAGACAACAAAATAAGACAAAGAAGAAGGGCAAAGCATAGCCTAAGTCAAGACACAACAGAAACTTTGCTAAGTCTAAGATAGTCCTGAGGACATAGTGTCTCCCTGCAGCCAGGCATTCAGAAGTTTTCTGGGGGTTTGCAGTTCTCCTTGAAAGGTGGGTGGAGGTCCCACAGGTTTCATCTTTACCTGCACTTTTATGGGTAATCCATACTCCTTCTCCCCCTTAGTTGCCTTGACAACAGCATTGCTTTTTCTACTCAGGATGTTTTCCTGGGCTGGTTTTCATCCCTCTCAGGCTGTCTCTTGGTTCTATAAGGTCCCTAGCTTTCACAAGTTTTATCATGTTCATGGTATGAGTGGCACTGTTTACAAGGCGCCTACTAGGGCTGTGCGATGTTTCAGCCGCTGATTCAATTCGGTGGAGATTCAGCCGCTGAATCTCTAAATCCAAATCGAATCAGGAGTCCCTTTAATCTCTCCAAATCGAATCGGAACCCTCCGAATCAATTCAGAGAGATTTGGAAAGATTCAATGATTTGGTCACAGACACAGCTTTAAATGTTTTTTCTACATACCTCAAGGTACCAAGCGGCTTATGAAGCTGAGATGCTGGGGCAGATGGAGTGTCCCATGGGCATGCGGGGGGGTCCCCAGTGCACTTGGCAGCAGACCCGGAAGTGGACCAGAAGCACTTCCAGTCGGTGCCGGGGGTCCACCCCACAGCCCCTTGGCTCAGTGATTGGTGCTTCCTGGGTCTGGGGGGCACCTGGGGTCCTCCCACGGCTGATCGCCAGGCTGGGGGGTGGGCACACACTTGGCGGCAAACCTGGAAGTGGACTGGAAGTCCTTTTGGTCCACTTCTGGGTTTGCCACCAAGCACATGGGACCTCGCCCCAACCCTGCACTCCTGTGGGATGCTTGATCCACCTCACCAGCGTAGCATACATGAGCTGCGCCTGGTACTTTGAGGTATGTAGAAAAACATTTAAAGCTGTTTCTATGGCTGAATCACTGATTCTCTGCATCAGGATTGAATCTTCAGATTCAGATTTGGCAAATCGAATCGGGGACAGTGATCTGAATCAATGAATTGAATCGCTGCCCCTGATTTGGGCTGAATCTGAATCAAATATGGCCTATTTCGCACACCCCTACTGCCTACTGCCCACTTTGAAATGTAGCCCTCTGGTTCCTTAGGCCCTATCAGTGTTTACTGCCCACTTAAGTAGTATGGCATGTAGTCTATTTATTCAACTTCTTTTCTTGCGTGGCACATGGAGGGGGTGGGGGGAGACTCTCATGGAACAAGGAAGAATGCTTCCACCTCTCCCTGCACTGTTTCTGTTCTTCTGTGTAGCTCTCAGCTGGGACACGTGTATGCTTCAGCTTCTGGACTATATTTCTAGCCTTGTTTGTGGCCTAAGATGCTCAAACCAAACTCCCAGATGAAAGGTGGCTTGAAACCAGTGATGGATGAGAAAATTGGACAAAACACAACTTCTGATTAGATCTTGTCAGCAAGCAATATTTTGAATCAAAGACGAAACAAGCATGAGGTGACTATTAAAACAAAATCACATTTATATGACAAATGTAGTCATTAAATGTGGCCAGAAATGTGTAATAAAACATCAGCTCTTACCAGTAATAAATAGACCTAGCCATTTAAAAAAACACGCATTACATGGTGGAATTTGCATTTAAAATTGCTTTGTTACTCTGTACTGAGTCTATCATAGTCTGGGGGCTTTCTAAAGACAACATACAGTCCTTCAGCTTCAATCTCTTTCACTGCTCAGGAGCTGCAGATAGGACTCAGGAGGCAGCTGTGACCCCTGACTACAGCATCAGTCTTTACACACAAAAGGCTGCATATGCATTAGTGCTGCTAGCTAAATCAAACCTGGCCTCAGAGTCAGAGTCCCAGTTCCAAATAGATAGGCCTTTTTTTGCATGTGCTTAAGGGAAATCTCATTTAGTTGCAGTAGTAAGTAGGGCTGCTATTTTTAAGACAGCATCCATTATTATAGTACTATGATGCACATAGACAGTGAGCTCAGTTTACTGCAAACACATCTGCCATGACAGGAAGGATTCCAAGTTAGAGCAGAAAAATAAACTGAAAGGAGACACAAAGTCAAATAGCAGGAAGGCTTATTGGAAAACGTTAATAAAATTAATGCTGAGGGGCAAAAAGCTGACTCCATTAACAACAGTCCATTCATAGCATCTGAGGAAGTAGGCTGTTTCCCACAAAAGCTTATGCCTCTTTCAACCAGTTAGTCTCTCATGCTATTTACAGACATTCAGGGAGGTTGGGGGAGGTTAGATCACATTAAAAATGGTCACCCGATCTTAGTTTGTCCAGGTGCAGACCTTAAACTTAGCTTTGTAGTTAGGCTGATCTAAGTGTAAACTGTACAGAAGTTCAGGAAAGTTAGACTGGGCAAAAAATGGCCAACCCAAACTATACCTTACCTTGGAGGTAGTCTAACTTAGATTGGGTCCAGCAAGACAAATCTAAATGAACTTCTGTACATATTCCCAGCCCAGCCCCTGGTCCCAGCCCTGGGGGTGCACTTTTCCTACCCCTCCCCTCCCATAGCACTGGGCTATTTTTATCTCCTTGGTTCCTCCCCCACAGATCAGCTAGACACCCTGATCCTGGCAAAACACTCCTGGTACTAGTTTTACCAGTGTTTGCTAGAGCTGGGAGCCAATGCAAGTCAGTCAGGGTGGAGGGTAAGCAGTATTGAGGGGGTTGGCTCACTAAGGGGGGGGGATTATTCTACTAGGGATGGAGGGAATCAGAGGGTTAAAAATAGCTCCTGGTCTGGGATGGAAGAGTCCACCACCCCAATCCAGCCAACCCCTGCAACCTTGCAGAGCCATAAACCTCCAGGCCAGCCCCCTCCAATTTGCTCACTCCTTCCCCCACTGACTTATTTTATTCAGCCTCCTGGGACCAGCGAATGCTGGTAAAAATGGCTCTGGGATCAGTTTGCGGGATTGGGTGTAGTTTGGCAACTTCAGGCGGTGGCTGGGAGGGTCTGGGGGTTTTAGCAGATTTGGAGAACCTGCTATACACCCTCTGATCCTGCCAAATGCTTCCAGACCACACCAACCCCCTGTGGTCTCTGCTAGCCCACATGATCCTCACAAATCTCCATGTGGACTCCACTAGGTCTTGATTCCCCCAAGCCCCACTATGGACTCTGCTAGCCCTGCAACCTGCCATGGACCCCACTAACCCTCCTGATCCCTCCCAAAGCCCCTGGTAGCCCCCATCCCAATTTACCTTAGATCAAATGGCCATTTAAAAGCAGATCTAACCTCTCTCAAACTTCTCTGAATGTCTGTACATTAGGTGCCACCCATCCCCTGCCTCCTACCTGACTTCAGACAAACATGGCTAACTACTCTCTCTCTCTCTCTCTGTTAATGATATACTGTTCATTTCATATTCATTTACTGGACACTTCACTGTTCAATCAGTAAGGTGGTTGAAAGGACCAAACATACTTTTGCTATCATTTAAGCAAAGGAGGAACAGTCAATGTGGAGAAAGATGATTTGTTGAGTCTAAGATTAAGCAGCCAAATGTAAAGTTTTAAGGTTTTCTGCTGTGAAAACAAACAAGAAAGATACTCTAATGTTTAACATACATTCCAATAAACTAACATGTTTAAAAGTCAATCATAGAAAAAAATTACTTAAAAAAAGAGGAAATTTAACTTTGGAGTGTCCTTCTTCAATTATCAATTAAGAAAAATTCAGCACATGAAAAACACCCAAGGATGATAATTTGCTGAATGAGGGTGTGAATGCTGAGTTCAATTTTACCTTACACAGTAGCTAGAATTCTGGAACTGGGCCATATCATACAGGCAGCAAGCCGGGAAGTAGGTGAGAGAGTGATCCTTAACATGAACTTCAGCATAAACAGGGAACTAGTAGATCCATGGCAGTGTTCTGACCCTCCAAAGTGACCGCAGGGTAATCATAAACAGACAAAATATTTAAACGATCATGAATGTGAAAAATGAGAAATGTGGTGCAGTTACTGACACAGAGTCCAAGATTACAAGATGAAAAGGCAAAAGAACTATGTTTGGACAAGATCGCAACATTTTTGTGTGTACATGTGCTTTTTTGCAAAGTATCAGATACAAATAATTATGGGTGCAGAACGTGACACTAAGTTTTTAACATCTGGTCCTGTGTTTGATAGCTGTTTATGATTTTATTGCATAAGTACTGACCCACAAAGTAGAGATGCCAAAATATTTTATTGATCAGCATAATTCTAAAGTACTAAAACATGGGTTTGCTTATTTTTATCAGTAAAAAATTCTGTTAAAACATCATCATGTTTTGGATATGAATGAGAGGTCAGTAATATGACATTGTGGTATCAGTGCTTACAAATGCCAAACTCTGACTTAAAAAAAATTCCATCTTATGTTGTGCCACAAGAGAAGAAGCAAATGGCAAGGTACTCTGTGATCTATAAATATGTCCCATGATAATGGATCACCTTCTTCCAAGGGAGTCTGATAGTTCATAGAAAGGGAGTACAAGTGTTGAATGATAGAGGAAGTGTTGTTCTATAGGATTTTTCCCATAGAAAGTCTGGAGAATTTCTCTATGTTGGGGAATCTACACAGAAAACGGGCTGGGATTCCTTCAACATAAGGAATCTCCCGCCACTGGGAGAAAGCTTCCTTGTCCTGCCCCATGCCTACCCATCTCTCTTGCTGCCCCTCAAATCTCATGCTACTCTTACTCCATGTTTTCCCTGCCTTTTCTACCTGCTTCCCCACCCTGAATCTGCTCTCTCATTCTCTTTTATCTTGCTGACAGTAGCCCTGCAAATTCTACGCCTCTACACCAAAGGACTCTTATACTGTCTCTTCATACACATCCAACACAAATCTGACTTTACAATTAACACTCCTGTGTGGATTTTCTTTTTAATTTGGAATGCTTTGTGTTAATGTTGCTCAGATGCATTTCCCATCAATACAAATATTAAAACTGAGATCAGCTCATATGTCATCATTAACATGTAGAGCAAGCTCAGTTTACATGCTTCATACCCCAAACCCACAACACAATATCCACAGAAGTCTGTCTACTCACCTCTGTAACATAATCCCTTTTTGTTCTAACCCCACTTGCCAGATAGACTCCTGTTTATTTGATGCATGTGCAAGTCAGATGCACATCTCACCTCTGATTTTTTACTGCTTAATTGAAACACAAAATTAAGTACATATATAAGATATGACTGCTTTTGCGAGTTCAGCTAAAGGTGAATAATGATACTTTATGATGTGAAAGCTCTGGTTTCTTAACATTATTATTATTTAAGGTTTTAGTACAATAATGATGTCTCTCTGGATTATTTAAGAGTTTAGTACTAGGTCTCTGGATAAGGTACATACATTGAAGTTGGCATGAATGAAAACATTGCTTTAAAATCTGACTTCCTCAGTTTCTGGTGTGGAGGCATTTGAGTTAAATTTGCTCAAAACACAAGCCTTTGGTGTAGTAAATATACAAATATACACAAGAACCCACTGGTTTTAATACATGATATTTGGGGATTTCTCTTCATCCCATGGCTAGATGGTGCAAGATATAGTAAGCTCTTTATTCTGTGGGTATTATAGAGTAACTCTACACCCTTTTATAGTAAAGGTGATATTTTTTCCTTGAGACGTGTATTTATTACAAGATGGTTAGCATACATAAGTCATGAAACATACATAAAATAGTTAAAATAACCTAGTTACAAAATAAGAAGTGTACATTTTCAAAACCCTAGGAAACAATGGGATCAGTATTTTACAAAGTACATATAAAAGTACTTCATATACAAAGAAAAATACAAATGTGCAAATACCATTCTCACAGGTGGATATTTATCAATTGAAAAATGCTAGAAAACTCCTTCATTCCTTCGTTTTGAAATTTCAAATGTATTAAAAACAGCTACATTTCCTACTCTGTGTACAATGTGAAATTTGAATTATTTTGTCAAAAGAGGAACAATGGTTAAAAAAGGACAACTCATTTAAGAACTCAAATCTTAAAAATGAAATCAGTTGGGTTAGTTTCTATTAAATTACAAGTAAAATGTCTAGAAAAAAACAGAAAATATTAAATCATATATACAAACTCTCTGAAATATTAGTTTGCTATTTAACATATTAACATTTCAAAACAAAAAAATGGGTTAGCTTTCTAAAGACATCACAATGTCATCACAAGTTGTAGCATGTAAACCACTATTAATTTTGGGCTACATAAAAAAAAAACAACATTCCTCAGAGATTTTAAATTGAACACATACAATGTTATCAAATGTAAAAATCTAAAAACAGTCTTCCAATTTATGTGCAAAAATGTTTTTAAAGTATCAAATCACAACACATCAAATCCAATTATGTACATATTTAATAATTGTAAATGTTGTTAACTAGCTACTATTGTTCTGCTATAAATAACTTACCTCTGTCCTTCAAAATGTCTGCATTTCAAAGATTTCAGTGCAAGTGCTTGCTTTATTGTTTAGTGCATTATCACTGTGTCATTTTTTTTTTTTTAATTTTACAGTGAGCAGAACAGCACATAAATTAACGCATACAACTTCATGGAGAGAACTTCTCCTACAAAAGTCAGTTTGTGACCAATTTCTTCTTGCTATTGTCATCTATTGTTCTATTGTAGATAAACACAGAATTGAAATGCCATAAATTAATAGTAAACTTCTTGGTAGAGAAAAGGGTTTGAAAGCAGCTAGAAGATTCAGAAGAAACCTTTCTTTGAAAATCAAATATTAGATTTCACTTTTTGGTCTTAAAAAAAAAAAAGAAGTGCCCAACACATTTGCCAATCTGGTATGCATGTCACTGAATTAAAAAATGTAACTATTTTTTCAAAACTGCAGAAATGGTCCCCCAGATACTTGACTACGCTGAAAACAAGACTGTTTAGGTTTGTTACTCTTACATAAACCTGGTGAAAATACAACTCTACTTGAAGGAAAATATCTACAGTTGATACTGGACAAGTTAAAACTGGACAATTTGAGCAACTTTGTGATTAGAAAAACAGTTTCTGATGGTAGATTAATTCCTGTGCAATACAGCGGGCTCATTTAGCTAGGAGACATACTGGAAAGAACAATACTACAGCTAATCAGGTTATTAATTCAAGAGGTCCTCCCTGATGGAGAAAAAATATAGTTATAGTGGTTATAATATTTAAATAGATGATACTTCAACATATTATGAGAATTTATGGCTGAAATGAAAAGGTTTGCTTGCTCAGCAGTAGCATTTAAGAAAATATCTTCTTATACAATGAGGTGCTGAAAGCATTTCTTTCCTACAGTTGGCAGTGGAATGGTATTCCTTGTTACGCATCTGAAATACAGCTCTGGATTTTGTCCATCCATTGCTGTGCGCTCTGTGCATCTTGAGCACAGAAATTGTACACACGTTTACTTGTCTTGAGCTGTAAAATGGAAATAGAGTATCAGATAGAAAAATAACAGATAAGATACAGTAAGTAATTCACAACTTTCTTTCATATATATTATATCCAAACTGTTTCTTTTTTGTTTTAATAAACAAAGGTTCTGAATTTTCACTGTGCATTCAGAATGAGGACTATTTGCTAGGTTTGCAACAGTTTTTCTCCAGTAACTTTTCAGCAGGCAGCATGAAAACATTAACAAAAGATATGTCTCTAAACAAAAGCCAGTAGAGTAAATGTACTTACATCAAAAAATGCTTTTTCACTAGCATGCTTTGGAGCTCCAATTGTTGGGGAAGCAGGAATCACTGTTTCTACTTCTGCAAGATCAATGTGTCCCTTACAGCTTGTGTCTTCACCAGAGTCATAATATCTCAGCTAGGGCACAAGAGAGGGAAAACCACATGCAGTTTCCAAACAAATCAACAAACATATGTGCCTTTTAGGGCCAGAACTTCATGTTTGTTCTTGCTATGCTTGGCACAATCTAGGAGCTGGAGGGTGTCAGCAGCAATTGGCACTAGGGGGCTTCACCCAGGCTGCGCTGTGGCTGGGCAAAGGGAAGAAGCAGCCGCAGCAGCTGGGTTCTAGTGCTGGCCCATCTTAGACCCGATCACTGGATCATTCTGGCTCATTGCTGGAAAATGTTCCTGACGGCTGATTTAGAGGATTCTGAGGGTGGACAAAATTTGGTTGGTTTCCAAACCATCTTTGCATGACCCAAATCCTCGTAGACAACTGGCTGCTGGGCTGGTTCTGATGCAGAATTTGCAAATGTTGAAGTTTGGCTGAGTGACGCAAGCCCTTGGGCCATTCCCACAGTTGCATCACTAGGTGGTAGGGATGTTTATGCCACCCCTCTGTTGAGGGAGTTTTGTAGTTGGCACAGGAAACACTGGGGGAATCCTCAAGGCTACATAGTCAAAAAGCCTGAGGGTGAACTGATTCAATCTATGTGGGTTTCTCTAAGCTGCTTAGATTGGATTAGGAGAGAACAGAACACACATTTCTCCTCTGTGGGAGGGAGCAAACAAATGCCTGCGCTGGCCAAGACCAGAAGCTGGGGGTTGCTCTCTGCTTGCCAGACGTTGCTGAGGGCAGCTGAACCTCGCGGAGCCGGGGCCCTCCTTGATAGGCTGTGGAGTACATGCCCCCAACCCTTTGCTGTCACCATGCACCCTCCCCATGCTGAACCCTGGAGCTGGGCAGGGGAGGGAACTGAGGCTTCAGCTCTGCCAGATCACAGCCCCTCTGCCCAGTTTCAGCTTCTGAGTTTCAGCTTCTGGAGCAGGCGGGGGGGTGTAGAGTGCCAACGTGGACACTAGGCCTCTGTGAAGCG